AAAAAACACAGCAATGAGCAAAAAGGCTTGTGGTTCCACGAGACCGTCACAGCGCAAAAAAGAAAAAACGAACGAGAGAAAACGGCGATGCAAAGTAAAAAATTAAAGATGAAGAAAGTCAGTGTCGCCAACACTACAAAATAAGAAAAGAACAACATTTGGCGACAAGACCACCGAATAATAAAACCCATCAAACACACACTGAGTGGTCAGCACACGACAGCTGCAGAGCTGTCACCATCGTCGACCGCGCTGCAGCCTGCAGATATGTGTGATAAAAACAAAAATTAATCGCCAAGATAATAATACAGATAGCAGAAACAAATATAATATAAAATTGCCATTAAAGGCGCAAACAATAATATTAAAAAAGATATTTTCACAATTCTASATAATTATCATCATTTCGAGRTCTTAGTATTTTTTTTATTATTGTATAAGCTTGACACGATGTGATAATAATATTTCATAGATTTATTTTTAAAATTGACCATGTACGTAACATAATTATTATATATATATATATTTATAATTCTCAGAAGATCGCCCAAATTAGCTCATCGTTTCCCGTGACATTTTAGTAGTACATACTCGAGCACGAACCAACACCCAATTACCATAAATCATTCGATCGAAAAATAATGTCTCAATACCCCGTTTACTGTATGTTATTATATCATACTAAATCGTACTACACGATAGTCATATGAGAATTACGATAATGAAATAAGGTACTTACGTTTACACAATATATTACAATAGTATCACAATAATTATTTAATATGTTCGATAAACCGTTCGTAAAATTATTTGTGCCACGTTATGGTATTCATCGTTCATACTTAGTGCTGCAACTTAAACGCGTGACGTTTATCCCAGGCTTACAATGAAATAATTCTAGGCTGATTAAATCATTTTCAAAATAACCTTTTTTTAAATTCATTTAGCATTAAGAATACAATTAATTTTTAGTTAACAACTAGTATATGTATTTATCTTAAAGAAAATGTGAGAAATGAAAATACACGGTTTGTATACGTTTAACGATAAAATAGATTTGTAATTAGAGCTAAATAAAACTTATTTGTTCCATAAATAAAAATTTACYAAGAAACCATCAATATTCTGGTTTTAATCGTCTCTTCGGCCCAGAATCTAAAATATTTGTAAAATGATTCGTACTACATGATGAAAAAAATTTAAGTGTTAATTGTTTTCTTTAAAAATTTTAATAAGCACGAGTACATGATATTTGTTAATTATCTTTTTTGTTAAAATCGTTTAAAAAATGTGTAGTTACATATTTTAATGTTTTTTCTATTTCACAAGTTATTTTTAAAACTGCTTGCAGTCAATTTTAAATTATTCATTGTTTTTTATTGAATGTTTTTAATTTTGATTTTTTTTTAATAACAATAATGTTCTACATATRWTACAAGAGCTCAAAGTCTACCAAATCGTTGCACTACTGGCTTAAAATAAATAAAAACATTAAAGTGAAAATAAAAAAAACTACTTATTCAGAATATAATTACGAGTGGAACTTGAGGATAACCTTAACCATGTAGGTAAATGGAATACTGTTATAGTCTTTATAAACGTGAAATACTG